GAGAGAGAGAGAGAGAGAGAGAGAGAGAGAGAGAGAGAGAGAGAGAGAGAGAGAAGTGATCCACATATCCGAGGCATCGATGAAGGCAAATAACTATTAGCGGTGAAAGATTGATTTTGTAACAAAATCAATATTCCCTAGTTGTATATCTGTTAAAAAACACTCTTCACGAAGTATAGTGGGGGTTGACACTGAAAAGTAGGTGTTGATTTGTATGCATCGCCTTGACGCCACAGTGATACGGACCAAGAACCACCGACTCTGCCAAAATAAGAAAACCGTAGACCTCTGTATAACCGCACGCCAAAAATCCTTTCACCCCGTACAGACTGCAAATATGATACCTCATTAAAATAATCCAGGCCAGGCGTGCGTAAAATGTTTGCAGTGTGTACACACTATCCCGCTCCAAATACGCGCTGGCCCGCACAATTTGGCCCCGCAAATAACGGCGGGAAGCCCGGGATAACTTGCCCCGGACCAAGTTATCCCGCTCTTATCTGTGTCTGTATGCAATCCGGTGCCTAGCGCGCCAAATTTCGCAACGCGCGTGCGCATAGACTAATTTAGGTCTCTTAAAAGTACAGTAGCTGTCTGCGGGGTGACGTAGCGAGCTGAACTGAGCATGCACAGTCAACCCGTGACTCATTTGATGTGGGATCAAATTTTGTGTCTGTACTCTGTGATGTGGTGCGCGCTTGGCACGCCACAGACCCGTACCAGTTTGATGTGGGATCAAATTTTTCAGTCTGTACGGGGTATTATTCTGCCTTATCCCAACACCGATTGGCTGATATGCGTGTGCGTTACGCTAATTCCTATATATAAAGGTACACTGTGTTCACTGTCGTGTTTAGATAGGTTCCCATTTCTGTTAAATTTAGTATAAGAATTGTACTCGTTGTACTCGTAAGAATAAAAGATCGTTTACACTAGGTTCTAGGGTTATTTTCAGTTAATTTAGGTTAAAGTTACGCTACATCATCACTATTAGAAATATTATTAAAAAATGTTTTAAAACTAACGACTACAGTTTGATTACAACGACGGTGGCGCCACTCAAAGCACACGATCTGATAAGTTGCGCAAAACAACTTTTCAGCCAAGGGCTACAGACCGAAGGTGTTTCTTATTTATTAATTTAAAAGCAAAAGGATTGTAATATCTTATACCCGACATATAGTTTCAGTTATATTATGGATAAATTTGTCCTAAAATGAACATCGTTCGGTTAAATAGCATTTAGGTATAAATATAATTGCACTTTTGTGATTAGCCCTCGGTCTGTAACGTGCAAAATAAATTGGCAAATGCGCAACTTTTTCAGGGTGGCAGCACGGTCGCGGGTGTCAATGGCGCCGTTTAAATTTCGTAGCGTTGATGTATAATTAATTATAACAATTAAATTAGGTATCTGGTAACAAGTACGTGTGGGTATAGACGATTTGTTATACAGTAAGTACAGTTGTATGCAATAAAATCCTAGAGTCTACTATCTTGCTGAGTGAAGAAACAAAGCAACTGCAATGTTCAGTGCGTGTGTGTGTGTCTGCGCCTGTGTGTGTGCGTAGGGGCCGGGGTGCGTGCGTGTGTGCGTGTATGTGTGTGCGCGCGCATGTGTGTTTGCCCGTCTACCTGTCTGTCTGCCTTTCTGTCTGTCTGTCTGTCCGTCTATCCGTCTGTTTGCGTGCATGCGTGCGCGTATATGATCGCGTGCCCTGCTTGTGTGAATCCGAAAATAATAAAATTCAACATAATACAGCGAAATTTTGTCGAGATTTTGCATTCGTTTATTCGGACTGATTTTTACGCAACCACGAATGGTAAATTTTACCTAGTTTACATTCCTTGATAATATAACATCTATGCATTTCAGGGGCGGATCTAGCTTATTAGGTCGAGGTTATTAGGGAGGGGTTGATAGGGGGAGGTTAAGGGGGGAGTTGATAGGGGGAGGTTAAGGGAGGGGTTGATAGGGGGAGGTTAAGGGAGGAGTTGATAGGGGGATTAAGGGAGGGGTTGATAGGGAGGTTAAGAGGTTGATAGGGGGGTTGAGAGGGGGTGAAGGCGTGCCGAAGGCACGCGGTGCTAGGGTGCCCCAATTTTACTAGTATCATAACATGAGTCAGTGGCTGAACGGTGAGGGGGTTTGCAACCCCCCAACCCCCTTCTAGATCCGCCACTGTATTTATAACCATTCCACAATATACATCACATCTCTAATATAATAAACAGCAGCTATTGCTTACGTTTTGAGAAAATACCTAAACGTAAGGCCAATATTCAGTTACAGAACCCTACCTCTGCAATTTTACTGAATAATGTATGTTCGACTATTTGAACATTAGGTGCTATGTTGTACATTGCACCATCATAAATACAAACTCTTTCAATTACATTGAGTTTCTATGTTTTAGTATTTGATTTATGATTATTATATGATTAGTGTAGAGGTTTCTTTACGGGCAAAATATGGCTTTGACATGTAGGCCGGGTTACTATTTTTGACATTTATCAGGATCACAGGTTGTTTGGGGGTTAATACATTGATTTCTTTAAGAAAAGCAATTTGATACATTTTGACTAGATGTTTTTTGTTTGTTTTAAAGTACTTTATTATATTCGGACACAAAATTTTGACACATACTAAAACAAGCAGGCCAGTAATCACGAGGAAAGAATTCTGACTGCCTGCATGGACGCCCTCACCTCTCCACCCTTGTTTTCCACAGGCAAAGCTAACAAAAGGAGCCCGCAATTCTCATATGGAATGTGCAGCATGGTAAATACAGTATGAATAGTAAATAAAAGCTGAACCAGCCAAATATACAAGTTTTGCCGGTCAGTCAAAGTAGGTTAAATTATAAGAAACTTTTATCAATATTTTATTCTAATTATTACCTATACAATTAATTACGAATAAAAAATAAAATTGCAATAAAATATTTCTGATCACGAGGCCTTGCGATTGCCAGTCACGTAAATTGACAATTAATACCTATAAGGCTCATATGCTACCTGTTTACTATATATTATATCAGGAATCTATCAATATTAATCAATATATATATA